GTCGAGACGCGTAAGGCCAGCGACTCGTCCAAGAAAGCCCATTTCAGCAGCTTGTACCCGGGTTCGAAGTATTTCAGTTATGGTCGACGATTCATGACCGTAGGTAAGCATGGGAATAAAGATTGACTTGAACACCGCGAGCTAAGTTTTCAGACCGAGTTCTGCTTTAGCCAAATGGACCGGGCTAATTCACGCAGAACGGCACTGGCTACTCCAATTCGGCGGTCGATCTCTTCCTCCAATTTTCCATCACTAGTACAGTACAATACAATTCCGAAGTACTTGAACTTCTCCACCTGCTCCACTACCTCTCCGTTAATCTGAAGAGAGCAACGGGCAGGAGAATGACAAAGCACTAGGCTTTTCGTTTTAGATGCGTTCACATGCATGCCGGTCACGTCGCACTCGCTGCGAACCTTTCTAAAGAGCACTGGAGATCAGTTTTAGAAGATGCTAATAAAACATTTCATTTCAACATCAGTTGTCATAACTGGGATCTGTTCAAACCGTCGTGCGATGTTGTTTGCAAGTTTCGCTCTCGTGTCCACCGAAGACAATGTTTCTGATTTGACTGTCCGGTTGCTTCTGCCACCAGATCTTCGTATGATAGTCCATTTCCTATAGCGCAGCATGCGAACAACAAGGTGATGCACGGTTGATAGCTCTGCGCGTCTCTTAATGCGAACATCCATAACTGCGCGTCTTAAGTTGGACGATACTATTACCAAACCGACTGCTGTACAGAAGCTTCCCGATACCAGGTGTAATGATGCAACTTTTGATGCTCGAAAAAGGTGTTCATAATGGACAATCCTTTATTTGCACGAAACCGGAACAACTTCTTGCCGTTATTGTTGAGGTCGCTAGGGCCGTTTTCTCATCATTTGTTCTTTTTCCACCTTTGCTCCGACATAGGCATCAAAATAGCCCATGAAAATGAGGGTTCCGCATTGGACACTTCTTTAAAAGCACACTCCAATTCCACTAGGGACGAGTCACATTCTCCCTCTAAATTGGGCGCATTGAGCTCTAAGAAAGTGAATGCTTTAGTCTCTGTTGCAGTTTCAGTTGGTGAATGGTCAGCCTTCCGCGGAAAGGGTTCGATTCAATTACTCCTATCTGCGAGGTTGAGCTCTACCAGATCACCAACACCGGCCTGAACGCGAGTCATGAAATCAACACCTCTGTAGAATAGGTTGCACCCGCAGAGGTTGAGGATTCCAGAGTCTTGGCGTTTTGTTGACGTAAGTCCAGTAATGTCGAGTTGACGCTTTATAAGCTAATCAAGTAACTCTTGTTCTTTCCCTTTGAGTGAAGATATTTTCCAATTTTTGACTGCAAGGTCCAGCTCGCGGTGTCGTTCTCATGGAGCCTTTTCTGACTGCTTTGGCATGGTGCTGCCTGCTTCCTCTGTTTGGAACGGATAGCGACTCCGTTGTTTATTGGTATGTTCGTCGTCGTTCCGTGGATTTTCGTCAGCCATTGCTGTGCTGCTATACCCCCCTTCCCGGCTTGAAGAGGACAATGAACAGGTTTTGATCGCCAACTTCTCGCAGTCTGCTTCAGTCCCCAATCAGCTTGCTCAGTCCTAGGTAACATGGTGACGAGCGAACCTGTATAACTTACGATGACGCGAAAACCATGAAGTGCAAATGTCTAAGTTATATGGAGAATTCGCCACTGTCTCTTATCCTCCTCCTTTCTGAACCGGGCTTGGGACCGTTAACGGCAGAGTTAAATCTTATTGATAGTTACTGAATTGAAAAAATGCATCCACAAAGCTGTAATTTCCTTAGTTAGTTTTGAAAAGGGCAATCGAATGTTTATGACTTTTGGCTTATAATAACAGCCCATAGCGAGTGAAACGTCAGTGACAATGCCTTGAGCTGTTACCCAGGTAAATTTTTTTGTAGCAAGCTCACAGAAATGCACTTATGCTTGCTTTAAGTTAAGAGCTTTAATAAAAAGTAGCACAGTCGTTTATCACTTGTTTCGAAGATGCTATTTAAAAAGATCTCTCACCTAAATATCACGAACAAACGAGACCAAGGTATTCATGTATGGGTGATGACCAGTAGAAATCGATGAGTTTATAAATTCAGGAGGTACGTTTTTGGTGTGTAATAAGGTGAAGTGAAAGTTTGTGCAGCAATATGCCAATTTTTAATCGTGCTTTGCCACAAAATGACTTAATTTTGATGGAGATTTGCACTGAATACGTCTAGTAGAGGAATCATTTTCAATTTTAGGTTAATAACTGAATCACTGTGAGTGTGTCGACTGCAACTGTCGATATCTATCGTAAAATGAACACCGCCATCAGTGTGCTACTATTCGTCTTATGGCTGATTGCAGCGAAATGCAATGGTGTGAATTTGCATCGAATTGGAATTTGAGAAGAGTAAAAAATTACAAGAATTGAAACCATAAACACAAATGTAAGGCGGAAGGAACAATTCAAAAGATATGACTGTCAGCATCAGCACGGGCTCCGTTGCATTTAATACTTAGAAAGACGAGCGAGAACCAAAAATGTTCTCTAATCATCCAAAATCTACTCAGTGGCGATATTCACCTTCACTACGACAATAGAATTTATGGTCTTCGGTTGTCACTTTTATAGGAAAGATACCTTAGTTGCTAAAGGGAGATACAAACAGACTAGTATTTATTACTGGATTCAGTCAACCTCTGTGCTCTGATGGTATATTTTTGACAGTGCTTTAACTAAGATGAAATACGCTTTCTGTTTTTCAGAATCATCACATCCCATTCGAATAATCTTGAACAAATCCTCACATAGTACTAAATCGAATACGTAACTTGTATTTTGCGTTC